TACCCCCTTTGCCTCTCTTCCCCCTGGGTATGCTCTTGACAAGCGAGCATGTGGTTGCCTGACATTTTTTAATGTACCAGACTCGCAACCTCCGTCCAACGTCCCCAAAATGCCAAAAAACCTACCCAGAACTGTTGTCAACACACCGGTTAATAGAAGGCAATCTAAAGGAAACCCCGTTATTTGTCTTGTGAGAAAATAATATAAGACACAACGGTTTGGTTGTGTGATGGCGAAGTAAAACATTTGGGCATTTGAGATACAATAACAAACCGTCATACAAAAAAACCTGTGGAAGTAAAAAAGTTATGGTCCAGTTAGGCCGGAGAATATCAATTGGGTCGCAGTCCACAGAAGAATTATAAAGACAATTATTGTTGTTTGATCCTGTATACCTACAGTCGCTTAAATAGGAGCAAAGTTGCGTATTTAGGTTATCAATAAAATGCCGCATACAAAGTTTAAGAACATAAAGTATTTCCGGAGAGAGACGGAAAAAATGTTTCCAAAGTCGTTTTAATTTTTTCCTGACTTAATTTGTAGTGGAATTTGAAAATGAATTAGACATTAGCATTGACAGTTTTTCTCCTCCACAAGATATCATAATAAGAATTTCAATATGACGTTTCGTAATGTCAATGTATGACGTATTATACATTTTTGGAAACAAAATTGAAAACTCTATTCGTCTGTATAAAAATCCTATATGGCGTCCATAAGAAAAAATAAAGTTGATGCTGGAGTACAAGAGACGAAAAGTCATATTGAAATTTTAATTACGCCATCTTGTAGAGGACAAATGTGGCAATATTAAATTCATTTGAAAATCCCACTACAAATAAAGTCAGGCAAAATTATTCAGTTTTTCCGTCTCTTTCCGGAAGCTCTTTGAATTTCGAAACTTTCAACTGTTACATCAGTTTCCGAGATCCCAACGGTGAGGGTAGAATTTGAAACACCATGTATACTGATTCCTTTACATTCCTTTTGTATATTGCACAAAAAGGATAACAATTACAAATCAGCCTATAAATAATTTAAAAAAATCCTTTCAATTCTTGTGTGGACTGTGGCGCAATTTGGTTGAGTAATACTAATTGATACCATATTCTCCAACCCAACTAATGGACCATAAGTTTTTTACTTCCAGGCCAAGAATTCGGTTGGACATCAACAGTTGTACCTGTTAGCTTGATTTTGTGTACAATTTTGCCGATTTTTAGGACTTGACCCTCTGTAAAAATCTGCTGCCGCCCGCTCGGACAATGTTTCGAGGGATGAGCATAGCATTGCAGTTTTATTTTTACAATTTTTTTAGAAGTTCAGATTAGCGGACCACACAAAAAATTTAAGTCAATGTCTTTTTGCTCCTAAAACCCGAAACTAGCTTCTTCGTCCTTATTTGTGGAGAATTCAGCTTTCTATTTGCAACTTGAAAAGTGTAAACATTACAACTTTTATGGGTATTTTTAGACCTCTCAGAACGATAGATTTAAAAAAATAGTGGAAAAAGTTGTTTGCCCTTTAAACATCTTGAAAATAGCATAGCCGTGCTTTTTTGAAGGAAGTACCTAAAATTTTACTTTCATCTATTTTTTAGTATTTTCCATGATCTTTATGACTGATCATAAAATAGTCTCCATACCATACGAAATGGGTATTGAGGCTTCAAGACAGTTCTAAAATGTTTGTGGCTGCCATTTACGAGTTTGAAAAAATCATACACAAAGTATGTCACACATACCAATATGTAATCGCAAAGCAAGAAAAAAGATCAAGATGATACAGTATTTCTGGGTCCGAAACAAGCTTTGGACCTAGAACACTACATTTTTGGATCCTCCCTCTAGCTGCGTTCGTTACTAGGAAGTAGTAGTTTACCTAAAAATTGTCAAATTCGCCCTAAACGTGATCATCAGTTTGTCTCGTCCGTACACACACCCCCTTATACGTGTCACTGGAGACCAGCATCATCTTAAAAAACATGTAAATACGATAAATAAAATTATGAAAAAATCGAGCGCATAGTTTACTTTGGTAAATTACATAGCACACTAACATATCAGTTTTACTATTCACGCAACAGAGGTGGAAGAAGCAAAAAAAAATAGAATTTGAAATAATAAGAGCATTACAAAAAGACAAGCATCCACTTCTGTCCGTCTACTGTTCTATCATCCATAGGGTTTTATTCTTTTCGTTTCCGCATAGTGAGTAATTGTTACTACTTTTTCAAGATTGTGGCAGAAAAGTTATTGCCAAGAAACGAAAGAATATCAAGATATCCTTATGCTGCGTATTCGTACCTACATATTGCCGCTTACAGACAGGAGTTGCCAAAATCTACATTTTGCGTTTTTACGTTTACAAATTAATAAACCAAAAATTGGATAATCCAGTTCAAAATTAACTGCCATATTATTCCTTGATGCTAATCTTACTTCTTTACTTAAATCCTAGTGACGGGTGTGCGCGTTGTGAAACATAACACCAAAGCAACTTCAAACTCTTGTCCTCGTAAAGTACCTGCGTAAGAACTTTATAGTACCATATACCTTATAATAGCGAATCTCGTAATACGGTAAGACATACCTGACGGAAATTTAGAAAATAAAAAACACACCACTGATCACTAATCACTGTAACTTATAGTCCACATTAACGTAACTGATGATTTTAATCTGAATAGTCCCGAGGGATAACAAGGCGTGTCCTACGTTAATGTTCCGCCTACTGGGAAAAGTGTAGCCAATAAGGGACAGGGATATTTTGGGATAGGCTGACCGACCTCCTCAGCATTATTCCCCTTGTGACTATCCGGCTTAAGTTAAGATCAAAGCGAAAGTAGGAAAAGCTCAAATTCGGCTTATATTAAATGAAACTTTAATGGGTATTTATAGAAATCGCTGAAATTTTATGCATGACACGAAGTTTGGATGTAATCAATCGCATTGATTATGAGCTAATTCCAATGATATGCACTTCCTGGGCTCTAATGAGGAGCTTGATATTTTTGAATAAATATTATTCCAATTTTTAAAATTGAAATAAATTAATAGAAATAGGTAGGACATGTTATCATATGAAAGTTGAAGAGATTTAATTATTTAGAAAATTAACAACATGAATATCCAGAGGCAATGAAAAGTGAATGCAAAATTAGAAGGCAATCAATAGTTTTCGTCGTGTTCGACCGTTCGTAACGGAAATAGTACAACCTGATTTCGTTGACTCTAAGCATGTTGTGTCCAACAATTTATATCAAAATATGCAGGAGAAAGAAGCCGTATTTGAGGGAAATTCATGGAAATTGTTCAAAAACTTAATATTTGGCAGAGTAAACGTTCATTAAGTTTTATTTTTTCATTTTTACTTTTTTTATTTTATATTTCATATTTCCTACTGGAAAACCCAATTACAGAAAAAGCTCAAATACTTTAACAAAAAGAAAATAAAGAGAGACATTGGAAACTTAAACTTAGCTATTATCATTATTATAAAAAAACTTAAACTTAGCATCAATTGGTCTAAATAAACTTAGTGAACAATCGATGACTTGTAGCAATTTATGATTGATTTACAGCTGTCATTATAAATATCACACAGCTCACAAATAGAGTTCATCAGACTGCACGTTACATGAATTGAAGATTTCAACATTACGTTTACTATTGACTTGTGTACGTCTGAAATTATTCCAAAAGCTTAGACCCTTTAAATCGTCATGTAAATTGATCTATAATTTTGGACCTAAATAAAGGTATAATCGTTGTGTTATAGACTTATTTGGTCCAGATACAACTGTTCCTGTTAGTTTATGCCTTGTGTGGGGATTGTGTTTAATTTTTTGGTCGTTATTAATAAATTTGTGATAGTTGGTTATAGAATGTAAAGATATAAAGCTGTTTCAATTCATATACGTGTAAATCTTTGTATAAGATATCAGTTGAAAAAACAGTTTGGTTTGTTAAACATTGTTTTAAGAATCATTTTTTGAAAAATATTCAAATCATAAATATGAGTTGAGCATGTAGCTCCCCATGCCGATCAAGGTATGGTATAAGATACAGAAATATTTTTATTTTAAAATGTTTTTGATATACTATTTAATTTTATATGAGACATATTTAACTTTTTTTAAATATCCCAATGCATGTGTGGATCCAGGAATATTCCAAGGTATTTTATAACTGATGCTTGTGTTATTTGGTAGATGTAGAATAGGAAGAAAATGGTAAAAATGTGTTTTAGCGTAACTAATGCTCAATTTTCTGTTATTAAGCCACTAGATAATTTTGACAGAATCATTTTAAACTATACTTTTCAAATGAAACCAACCATCACCTTTATAAAGAACTACTCTCTCATTTGCGAAACTTTCTGTTTTGCTCACACAGTCAATTTGAAATATATCATTTAAATATATCAAAGAGCAGTGGACCCAAAACGGTTCCCTGTGGGACGCCACATTTGAGAAACATTTCGTTACTGTAAAATGTTGGTACTTCCACGGATTGCTGACTATTGGATAAGCATTTTTCTCTCCAATACGTCTAACATGAGTTTATGGTTTACTGTGTCGAAGGCTTTTATAAGATCGACAAAAATACGAAGATAATGAATTTTGTCATCAAGATTTTGGGGTATTTGGTTAACAACATCTAATATTGAGTCTGAACTTCTCCTCGTAAATACGTATTAGTTTTCACATAACATTTGATATTTGGTGAGAGACTGAAGCATTCTAGTAGATACTATTTTTTGAAATATTATTGCTATATCAGAAATCACTGATATGTGTTATGTCTTCCAGTCGTTTTGTTGCATTGTATTGAGTTATGTTCTGTGAAAGTGGCGCGATCCGTTATGAATATTTCATGATTTCAAGCACTGTACCTCATTTAATTGCCTTCACGACATGTTCTGATGGAACTAACTTGAAAATTAAAACAACGGAACATTGAATAAGCTTTTCACCTTATTCTGTTAGTTGAAGACATGTCTTCCTATATGCAGTTTCTCTTTATTTTGCTTATTCCAACTATGTTAGCTTTCAGAACAGATAAGGCAGAAACAGGTAAGTAAATATTTTTTATTTACAATTTTTGTTGAATAAATATGTGGTCAGGGATCTTATGACACACAAAATGTCCATCATATGTTGTCAGATGCAAATTCGGTAGGATACATGAGGATTGATCCAAAATTCTTATAATAGTAAAAATTACATATACTTATAACCTAATGAATTTATACCAGTTAGCAAGCTATTAAGTATATACGCTAAATAATTAAATTAATAATATTCATTTGAAGGTTCGAACTTCTTCGAATATCTAAACAACATATCAAAATTGGTGAACAAAGCTTTTGGAAAACCTCTGGAGCAGAAACCAGAGAATCATAGCAATCACTTATTTGGCGCTTTTTTGAGAATGCTGGTATTGGACAACAAAAAAATTGGAGCTATAGCCGTGAATGCAATCATAACTATTGCCCAGTTGGTAAGTTTTTCATTCGGAAATAAACAGTACTTTAACATACGACTCACTTCCAATAGTCTATACCTTGGACTAGAACATTTTATTCATCGAGGACTTTTGAAAGATAAAAGCGATGAGGTTCAATCTAAAAATCGAAGGATCTGCATATGATAATGAAACAAAACTCCTTGTTTTTTCTGGCCAAATGAAACCCATATATAGGAATGACTCTTTACTAACGTTTCAACCACCTCGGCGATATTTCTCAAAGTACAAATAAAAATAATATTGAGAATACATTCAGCCTTCTGGGGAACTGCCCATTTGTTTTTACTTTACACGTCTACTGGCGGAGAAGTTTTGCAATCACGAAAATGTTTTTTGGTCATCGCAACGATCATGTGCTCCTCTAGGACTTTCTCTCAAGAGGAAGGTCATTTAATTTTTTGTTATACATGTTCGTAGCTGACTTTTTTTCTCAGAAGTGCCAACTTGTACCAAACAATCCTTTTAGAAGCGATGACAGCGTTGAGTGTGAAGTAGAGTCAACTTACTTGACGCCATTTTTCGCCTCTACTATACGGTGTGTTGTAACAACAGCCTAAACGGTCATGTGCCATGCCGAGGTCGCGCAAACATAGCAAAGTCCAGGTCCATCTGGGATAAGCATTCCTGTTCCTAAAAAACGTCTATAGACCCCCCAAAGAAACAAACACGATCTCGGCAACGTACATGGCCGATCAAGGTGTTGTTGAAACACACTGTATAATCGCGACAAAAAACAAATGAACTGTATCCTGGAAACCATAAATATGAAATGTAGGTATTGTCATGTTGTCAATGCCATTTTTATTTAAATTTTGAAAAAAACCGAAGTAGCCGAAACGTCAGTAAAGTGTCATTCCAACATATACGTGGTTATACTTGCCCAAAAAACAAGGAGCTTCACTCATGAACCACACGATAAGATTCAGCTGTTACAATGAAATACGAGTATTCTCTCATTCCAGAAAGTATCTTCCCATCCTCTCGGAAAGATAGTTTTGTACGGATTTTTGCATAATCTAGGACCCCTTTCAAGGAATCTGCATGTTGCCGGGCCAAAACTTGCTTCAAAATTGGACGAAAAACGTTCTTATTCACTTTTCTCTAAAGTTAATAGTTTTTGAGACGGTAACGATACCCTGTAAAATGCTTTGGGGGTTTTGTTAATGGATGATGAACTTTTAGTATCGATAACAACACATTATTTTTCAAATGTAAAATCATTTATGTCACAAAACCAACTTAAGAGAAAAGTTTCTCAAAGAAACAACAAAATAAAACAATTTTTTATGTTTAAAAAAATGTTACAATTTTTGGCACAATTTTGAGCCTGGCATGCAGATTTGTTAAAAGAGGTCCTTTTAGAATAAGACTATGCAAAAAACGAACCAGAATACAACGTCCGTGTTACTTATACTTTATTTTTTGAGCCAAATTAGCAGCAAGCGTCAGGCGTCGGCAGTGTTTATTTCTTTATTAGCGATTTCTTCCTCAAAATCATTCCATTGTAACTCTTTTCATCAAAACATTTTTCTAGATAAGTTCCTCGTTACCTTTGAAGCAAGCATCAAACACACCTCCAATGCAACGGAGTATGCCAAGCCCGGAAAGCGCTTACGATACAATGATGAGGAACCCCGAAGTCGCTGAAACTTTTGGAAATGCCATTGACCGAGACCTGGTGGAAAAAGTGATCGAATACGTGAAAGAAAGGAGTTTGGACGAAGAAACTGGATGCTTGCAATTGCTGATATGCAAAAGTCGCCCGTTCTTCAGGCGGATGCAAGAAGTTATTGCCCATCGTGGAAATAATACAGAATTTGTAGAAGATGCGATGTATGGATATTTTCCAAATGTCGAAGAAGTTGCTGATTATGCCGATATGTGTGAAAGGAAGCATCCGTATTGCAACGTATGGGTTTAAATTTAGCTGATTTTGGATTGTATACATAAAAAACATCACCGAAGTGCGTTAGCTATTAGCTTATCCCGGCCAGTTTCTTTCAATCAGTTTGTTTTTTTATGCAATAAAGCTAGAAGAATGCAATTAGAGCTGGCGGATGAATATAGTTATCATGCCATACCTCTAAAATCTAGAAAGAAATTTGCATTTTTCCTAGGTCATCATGTGCCCATTTCGACCTAAAATGGAGCGCCGTTAGGATTCGACACAATTCACAATTCAAAAATGTATACGCTCAAAATAAAGCCATTATTTAGGCATAGAGAATAAACTAACGCATATTTTCAACATGGATCTTACTTCAAGGAACTGGTGTAAAATAATATCAGCTTCTATCTCTTTCATATGTGACTATACACTTCTCTCTCCTACACATTGAACTCAAGCTATCAAACAAATTCAGGTTTTCAGTGAAGATTGTCCAGTCTAAGTATACGCTCACCAAATTAATGAAATACTCGAATTACGAATAATTGAATTGATTTCTGGAATTTCACCTGTAAATAAGGTTTTTATCAAATACCTACCAATTTAAGAAAATTGTTTTAGGAGTCGAAGAAAGAATATAGAAGTATTACTAATGACAAAAGTACCTCAAAGAATTACAACTGATATGTTTATATATTTATACATGTGCTTTCATTGAGAGGTAGGATATGATCCTCTTCAGAAAAGTAAATATTAGACTCGTGTGAAAACGAGACGCAACATGACAGCGTTCGTAAGTATATTGTTTCGTAAATCCTAAGCAAATAAACACACGCCTCTGTTTAGGACGAAACCATAAATAAATGTTTGGCTTCGGATTAATTCCTTGTTATTATGATGGACCTCTAATGTCCTGTAAACAATTTTTGGGTTATAATTTACAAAATACATAAAATACTAAGCTACTCAAAATAAATAAAACCATTTAGCACAAGATGAGGCTAAACCAATGCGCAGAGTATACTTGGTCATTATGATTGTGATCACATGTTAATAAACGAATGATCATACTCAAAAATTGCTTGATAAAGAGGTTGTGTGAAGTGACTCATGGCTTCTCAAATTACATAACGCACGCAAGTTTCATTTGAGAAATAAAACGGAACATTACTAAGGCCTCCTGTTTATAATGTGTGGTATGTGACCTACAAAAAATGGCGTCACGCAGGAAACTCTGTACTTCCCATGCCATTAGATTATGTTCGGTTCATTTCCAGGCTTAACGCTATATAAACCACGGCTCAAAAGAAATCGATCAAAGATGTGTGATATAGAGTCGACCTACTTGACACAAAGTTTATGTAGAATACTTAGATGAAATCGAAACCTGACTAGCTTTGGTCGCTTAACTACGACATGTTGTATACCAACTGTTGTACGTTATATTTTTATTATTATATCGCGAAACTCAGCAGTTCTTAAACTATAAAAATAAACCTGTTTCAGTAGCAAACGTGTGGATTATATGTGTGTAAATATTATATGTTATCTACAGGATGTCCAATAAGTACCACGACAAACTTAAGGAGAGAAGGTAGGCTTTGGACTGACCTCAACAAAAACTTACCTATATAAAAGCGTCACCGTTTTTGAGATATTGAATTTTTTCTTAAATTTAAAAAAAAACTAACCTTTTCATTTGTGTTCTTTAGCTGCATGTATAAATAAGGTCATACTTTGTTCATTTTTTCTATAAAATACTTCTACATGTAGATAGTTGCTTTATCATATACAAATGCAATGTAGTTAAAAGATAAGGAACCATGATAAAATAAGGACTATTTTGGGATTTATAACCTTCTGATATTTTTTCCTCAACTTTGACCATCTGTGGTGAAACAAAAATGTACTGGGATATAACTGCATTATGTTGAATAAAAACACGTACTATTTGGAATAGAAAAAAGTGACTGATGTAAGTGACTGACACACACTACAATGTAATTATTGGATTTAAATTCACGTTCACTGATTGCCGATTAGTGACTTGCTAAATAGTACAAAGCTACAGTATTATTACCTGCTCCTGATATGATTTTATGAAACTTACTGAAATTTGGACTCGAGTCAGTAACAATACAAAAGAATTATTTTTTATCCATGGTTCCTTAATATCTTTTAACTACATTGCATTTGTATATGATAAAGCAACTATCTAGAAGTATTTTTTAGAAAAAATCAACAAAGTATAACCTTTTATTTGTACATGCAGCTAAAGACCACAGATGAAAAGGTTCGTTTTTTTAAATTTAAGAAAAAATTCAATATCTCAAAAACGGTGCCACATTTATATAAGTAAGCTTTTGTTATTTGGACATCCTGTTTACAGGGTGTTTATTAAGTATGTACCATGAATTTAACAGGCGATTCTTTAAGTAATTTTAAGACAAAAAGTTCATATAAATATGAGTTCGCAAATGCTTCGTTCTCAACATTCAGGGTTTTAAAATTTAAAAAAATGGCCTTTCGTGAATTTCTTAATTATATATATATTATTAAATACCCAATTTTTTTGTAATTTGGCGGTAGTATTTATAACATTATAATTTAGCCCTAACTTGATTAAATTTATTGAGTGCAGTGACGTCTGAACTAATATTTGTGACAAAAAATATACGCCACTGACTTTTGTGCAATTTTTACTGTGTTCCTTAAGCAAATATAAATACAACTTTTCTGTCTCTTGAATTTTTTTCGTATCTTGCTTAGTTTTCGAGAAAAAGCTTGACTACATATCCCTGGACCCCACAAGGTTGGTTGTAGACTGGAACTTTCTAACAAATATTACTGATGCTAACTATGCTGCAACTTGTTTTTATAATAAGCTTAATGAGGTACTGGATGCAGATGCTCCGCTGTATAAAAACTTTAAACACAAGTATCCCCCTTGATATACAAGTGCGATTATTAAAATTGTAAAACAAAAAGACAAAGCTCATAAAAGTTCAAGCGAACTAGGTTTATTGCTCTAATGGGGGCAAGAAATTTAGAGCTCAGTAAAACAACACAACTAGAAAACCTTACAATGTGATCTACAATGGTGACTCTATTAACGATCCTCAAGGTATGCCGATTTTTTCTCTATTGTTTACTCGTTACCGGATAATACAGAGCCTACATAGCCTAAACTTTGTTCATAATGCCTTAACTGATATTACTTGTGAACAAATTACGGTAGATGAAATTTTTGCTGCCAATCCGAAACTAAAAGACAAGCTAACTGCAGGACCAGACCAAATTCCGTCATTCTTTGTCAAGGTTTGAATTAGATTATTCTGTTTACCTTAATTTTGCACGCATCTATTTTCCCAGATAGATGGAAAGCTGCAAAGGTATTCCCAATTACAAAAACAAATAATTATAACTTATTTTGTGATTATAGAGCAGTGTCTATCTTAAACAATTTTGCGAAACTCTTGGAGATCATATTGTATAACCGAATATATCTGTCCGTAAAAGATCATATTTCGATCCATCAACATGGTTTTATGAGGGAGCGCTCAACGTTAACTAATCTGATGGAGTTCAGTCAATACTTATGCCAAAGATAGGATAACAGAGGCCAGATTGACGTGGTATACACGGGTTTTTCCAAAGTCTTTGATAAGGTTTACCACAACATATATTGATTAGCTACGATACTTGTTTTAATAGCACTTATACCATATGGCGATTTTGACTTCCTACCTTTGCTGCAAGGAAACACTATGTTTCTTACAATGGATACTATTCGCATGTTTACATTTCTACCAGCGGTGTTCCTCAAGGCTGTAACTTAGGACCCCTACTGTTCATTCTTTTCGCCAATCATTTATGTACCTCTTTGGAATGTCGAAAGTTTATGTTTGCTGGCGATTTAAAGTTTTTCTCTACTATTTCCTCGATAGACGATTGTGTTGCGCTACAAAAACGAATCAATATTGTACTAAGGTGGTGTGAAAATAACAACCTTTTTCTAAATATTTCTAAATGTAAGGTACGCACTTTTTCTAGATAGACAAATCCTTTATGGTACATTTACGCAATGGAGGATTGCGTATTGGAGCGTTGCGAGACTGTGAGAGATTTAGGTGACTACTTTGACCGGGAACTTGCCTTCAATTATCATATCAACCAAATAATGTGTAGTGCATCTAAAAGGTATGTCTCCATAATAAGAAACTGTAGAAACTTTGACAATATCTGTACATTGAGATCTTTATTTTTCAGCCTGATAATTATATGGAGCCCTATTTTGCAAACAATATGTTTATAAAATTCAGAAGAAACGTTTGACGTTTCCGAGTTTCAAAATTGATGGAATGTACCCTGCAAGAGGTTCCGATTACAATGACCTTTTACAAAAGTTTGATTTTCAGTCTTAAGAGCAGCTACGGAATCAATTCTCTGTACTGATTTTATATAAATTGTTGCAAGGTCAAGTAAACTGTCCAAATGCTTTCGCAGTTACAATTTCTGGTGCCACGTTTAGCTTCACGAGCTAGTGTTCCTTTTTTATGTCAAAGAGCACATACTAACTTATTATCAAAAGCACCAGTTAATAAGATGAGTAGTATACATATATATATATACAGGGTGTTCATTTGAAAACTTCCGGCCACGGATTTATATCGAAATGATTAAAAGAAAAAACGCCGAGACACGTCAGAAGATTTGTCAAGAAAGACAACTTTTTAACCAAAAACTACTTCACCTCCTTTCACCCTCTGCCCCCCAGGGCCATACCCTTAAAAATTTTTAATGACAAGGGGTATCGAGTAATAGCTTGTTTGGAAGGTCTTTCGGAGTCCTTTATTTTGACGATTGATTTTTCAAAATCGGTCGATTCGTTTTCAAGAAAATTAGAAAAATCTTTATTTATCTTAATTTGTTCAGATAGAAAACAAAAACACACGAAAATATCACTTTTTATTTCAATAACTGTTCAAAATGTTGCTCGTTATTGGGCAATCAATGATATAGGCGATGTTCAAATTCCTGACGGACATTTTCAAACACATGTTGTGGGTTATCACGGCAGCTTTCGATGATGCATTGACGAACTTCATTCAAACTTACAGGTTGGTATAGAAAAAAGTATAATGGATTCAAATCAGGAGATCTAGCAGGCCATCCTATAGGCCTCTTCGCCCTATCCATTTATCTGGAAACTCGTCGTCTAAGCATTGCCGAACCGGAAGAACATAGTGAGGAGGAGCGCCGTCTTGCTGGAAATATATTTCAGCCTCATCAAATATACATCCTCCTCGATTTGGTTTTGGATGGTTTCGGTGATAAGCGGATTGATGGTATTGTCCAACATATCCAAATAATTGTCTCAATTCAAATCTCGATTAATAAACAATGACCCAATCACTTTGTTTCCTAAAATGCCTGCCCATACATTAATTTTTTGGGGATACTACTTAGATAAAATGTGCATTCATCACTTCATAAATTAGAATCACAATGTGATATTTTTGTTTTCTATCTGAACAAATTAAGATAGATAAAGATTTTTCAAACTGTCTCGAAAACGAATCGACTTTCAAACAAGCTATTACTCGATACTCCTTGTCATTTAAAATTGTCAAGGGAATGACGCTGCGGAGGTAAAGATGAAGTAGTTTTTGGTTCAAAAGTTGTCTCCCTTGACAAATCTTTTGATGTGTCTCGGCATGTTTTTTTAATCAGAGGTTTTCGAAAAATCCGTGGTGGGAGGTTTTCAAATGAACATATACATATATGCTTTGTTCGCATGGAAATACCTCTAACTTTTATTTTTATAAACTGCTCTGTTATTGGCGAGAAGCTGTTATCATCATTATTAACAGTAGATTGTTCAGCTAATAAGCCGATCTCTTCAAAATAGGCACAACGATTTTGTTCAATTTGGAAAATTGGAGGCATACAGTCTTTGCTGTTTAGACAATTACAGCAACTTTATTTCGAATTGTTTTTCAAGTACAGCTTTTCCCACACGTGAACAGAATAGATGGTCACTATTGAACAATCGAGTAAGGTCAGAAATAAAAGAACAGTTGCTAATAATAATCGTATATTAAAGCTTTCGACATAATAAATTGTATAAAAATATTGATATATGGAACAATTAAACATAACGATCTATGCAATACGTGTCAACTGAAGCTTAACCATAAAATTAATACCTAATCATCGGAAATCCTCCGATACAAAATTTAACAGACGTCAATGTGATGTACACAGAGTCTGCTGCAAATACATAATTTCTTTTGGAAGTGATTCCGCATAGAATTCTTGGGAATCTTTAGAATAGTTGGTATAAAAGTGCATGAACTTCAATGTATGCGCTACTTCAGGGGGCATATCCACTGTTTTTGCGCTAAAAATAAAGCAAATAAAAAATCTATGGTGCTGATAAAAAGTGAAAATAATTTTATCAACAACAAAATCTAAATCCTTCAATACTGAAAGCAGCTGTAATAGCGATACCGATTCACTTTAATACGCGCGCCATGCATTTTTATTATAAACCTGAAAAATCTATACCTGCTATTTTGCGTAGTTAACTGTAAAGAATAGTTGCAAATATATTTCACAAATTCTTGGTTAACGCCGCGACTGAATTGATTAATAGTAGTATGTACTCCCAATACAAATGTAATTCCATCTATTTGATCATGAATTCTTTTTTGTACACTTTCTGAAAAAAAAAGTATATTTATCCCAGCTGACTATCACATCACGGATCACAATCCCATACCTGCGTTCTGTGGGAAAAACAATCTGGAATAGTGTGCTATAACAAAGATAAACATTGTTATAGCATAATCTGGTTTACTTTTTGCAGAAATATATACTTTATCAGGATGGTTGTTTAAACCAGTATAATCGAAAAAACCAGATAACACTGATAATAGTTCTTCACTAGGTTCGTAATTTTTGTTTCTCATATCCATTAGCAACGCTCTGAAATATAAAGGTATATTCAAGAAACATTCAAAAATGCACATTTATCAAAAAAAAAACTTATGTAAAGTATGTTTTGCATTTTTAACCGAAATAACTATATGACATTTTTGGATAGAAAAATATATAGTTATTAGTATTGTATTTCGACGTCCAAAAATTATCCGTGATGAAATGAGATATCCTGGCGTCTCCTATGAGAATTTGTAACAGCTATGTTTCACCTATCCCCAACAACTAGAAATCCACTTTGAATAGGTTAGTGTCTCATAGATGGCACTTTAGCCACCTATATGAGCATACAGGGTTATCCAAATTAAGTGTCCACCATTAGTAACTTTGTTATTAGTGAAAATACAATGTTGTTTGAATTAGCAAACTAGTAGCATTTTTAACGCTGGTAAAAATGAGAAATAAAAAAAACAATTGAGAGTCGTTATTTTGATTTTTTTCAGTAAAATAACATTTTTTTAAATGGAAACCCCTGTATATTATATTTTTTCTGTTAAAGCATCAAATTTTAAACAAAAAAGTTCATAATGACTTTTCCGCTAAAGTCAAAAATAAAGTCAAAATAACGATAAATATTTTTAATTATTTGCAGTATTATAATATTAAGACGGCTATGAAAACAACATGGCGTTCGCGATTTGACAGCATTAAGATAAGCGACAAATTGTTAAACTGGACATACTCGCAACTAGAAGGCTTTGGAAAACAATGATAAAATCAAATAATGTCAAACATTAGTGTAAATACTTGTTTATAAGCTTTATTGTGTCATTAATTTAAAGAAAAATGTTCTCCCATGAAGAAAAGTGTGATATGTTAGAATGCTATTTAGTGTGCAGAAAATCCTCCTTGAGAGCAAGAGAATACTACAGTGAATTATATCCCGCTCGCATTCAACCGTATGAACGATATTTTCTGAGACTTTATCGAAAATTTAGGGGCAACGAAAATGTTTTTGCTAAAACAATGGCAAAAAAAGAATTCATAATAAGCGAGGCCACGGAAATTGCAGTTATTGGATATTTTGAAGCTTATCGTGAGAATTCAATAGCAGATATTCTCAAGGACTCTAATTTCAGTTATGGTACTGTTCAAAGGATTTTAAAAAAATACAAATTTATTCCGTATAAGTACCGACCAGTTCAAACGCTTTTGGCAGGGGATCCAGAGAGAAGACTTGTTTTTTGCCATTGGTATCTTAGCTTCTGTCGCCAAAATGTAAATAACTTTCGTTACCTTTTATGGACAGATGAATCAAATTTTTCAAATTCTGGAATGTTTAATAGAAAAAACCACCATTATTGGTCAAGAGAAAATCTTTTGTTAGTACATCCAAGAGGCCCACAAGTCCGTTTCAGTTTCAACGTTTGGTGCGGTATAATTGGTTCAAAAATTGTTGGCCCGTTCTTTTATGAGGGAACCCTAACTGGTGAAAGATATGTGGAATTTATGTCAGAAATTCTGACTAATTTCTTAGACGAATTGGATCTTATAAGTAGACATCATCTGCATTTTCAGCAAGATGGCGCACCTGCCCACAACTCCAGAGGTACTTATCATTTTCTAAGTACTACTTTTAATGATCAGTGGATAGGAACAAATGGCCCAATACAGTGGCCTCCCAGATCACCAGATCTAAACCCACTTGATTACTTCTTGTGGGGTTACTTAAAGAACCAAATTTACAAGCGAAGGCACGATAACCTTGACGCGTTAAAGACTGCAGTTAGGGAAAAGATAACCCAGATAGATGGTAGGACCATACTTAAGACAGTTCGAGCAGTTGAAAAACGTGCCCAAAAATGTATTGAAGAACAAGGTGGTGTTTTCGAGCATCTTCTTTAAAAAAAATTGTTATTGTATTTTGTAAGATTATAAGTTGATGTTGAAAATAAAGTTTGTCGATACAATTTAATTGTTTCAGATTGGAGGCCATAACTTCAACAATTTGTAACCTAGGAGAAAAGTTATTGTAAGCTTTTTTGTTTAAAATTTGATGCTTTAACAGAAAAAAATATAATATACAGGGGTTTCCATTTAAAAAAATGTTATTTTACTGAAAAAAATCAAAATAACGACTCTATCATACAAATACACTTACTTGAGATTCAAAGTTAGACATTAGTTGCACCTCGGCTTTATCTCATCAATTCTAGAAATTAGATACATACGCAAATTTGATGAATTTCGAAAATGAGAGAGATAAGAAATAATTATATTCACTGGACACTCTCGAATTACAAGTCATATACTTGTACATGCTAACAGTAATGACACACAACGCGATCGCGGTGGTGATTTCCCGTAATTCTCCTCAAAGTTTTTGAAAACACAAAAAACGTAGAAAATCGTAATTTATAACTTTGAACATGGACAACATATAAATAACCTGTCGGGCACAGCTAATAGATATACTTCGTTGGCAACATGTTCAGTAATGATTTTCTCATACAGCAAATATCACTGATTTTATACACACGCAGACCACTACACACAATCATCCAGATGCGATCTTGCCATTCAACCATCTTTCTTCTCAGAGATGAAAACTATAGACTACTCGGCTTCACAAAACATTCTCAACCAACAATGCGTGTAGTTGAGCTGTGCCTCCATAGATGGATGCTCACAGCGATTCTAGTGAGCAAACGTTGAATGACTATTTGCACCCTAAAAACTACCTAGTCTGCAAGATGACATTTTATAGTTTTTTTTATATCTTATAGGTTTTTTACATAATACCCGTTAGGATCTTACTAAAGTGGCCATATGACGGATTAGTCAAAACATAGAGTTGCCAGATTGGTCGGAATTTCCCCAGAACAATGACAAAAATCCCTCAGCATTGCTGATTTGTCAAAAAAATCTCCCAAATTAGTTAATTAATGGAAAGGGGTAGGTTTGTTTCAAAGAGCGGGAGGATGCTTTATATCCGCGAAACGTGTGATTTCGTCCAGAACATTATACCCCAAAAATGGCCAAATTTTGTGCAACATGGCAACCCTGTCCAAGCACCAGTGGTAGTCGAGGCGACAAGTTTCGGGGTCATTTTTACAGCATAAACAGCATTACCGTAGTTTCTCCTGGCATATAGGCTCATTGGGAAGAACTCGCTGAACAAAGGTGAACGAAATGAGCGAGCTCAGTGGAAAGAGAAAAGAGTCGTATGTCCCAAGCCTATATATAAGAACATAATTATAATGATTGTGACAAATTGAAATACTCATAGATGACGCCAGGATATCTCATTTCATCTCGGATATTTTTTTACATCGGAATACAATACATGATTGTACATGTTCAGGTAAAATAGGTTAATCAAGGCTGGTACTGATGATACCAACAGTTATAGTGTTATCAAAGATATGTAAAGACATAGTAAAACTTACTTGTTCAATGAGGAAAGTGACGATTCCAAAGTCTTTGCATTGAACTTACAAGTTTTATTAAGATAAAATGCTATCAATAGCCTCAGTAGCTGAAGTTGACCAACTAGGAGAACACTTTCAAGAAATTCAGCCCAAATTTTTGTACACCTATTTATATACGTTTGGTATGTCTTGCTTGGATTTTGAATATCACCCATTTGCTTGAATTCATTGTGGATAGCTGACATGACATTTATCCAAGTTTGCTGCTTGTCATTTTTGTTATCCAAATATCCTAAAACGCAATTTTGATCAGAATGGCTTCAGCTGTACAATAATAATACAATAGAAAATCAATGGAATGAATTTTTCTATGTACATTAAAAATAAGAACGTACCCAAAATTTTTCGGAGAGCAGATATTATCATAAATGAAAACAACTTGTCAAGACCTACTAGTCCAGCAATTTCTATACCAGAGGATACCGCTGATATAGTCTCTTTGTTCAATATAATTTTATGAGTCTTCACGTCGTACCAGGTGAGCGTTTGATCTAGGTAAATCGAGTTTCTACAAAGTAAATGCTGCAGTTAACTTCTACTGTCATTATGGAATATCAACATTTATCATCTATACAAATTAAAAACTATTAGGCGAATGTCACACAATCACCATTAACTGTGATCCATATCGTCCGTAATTACTGATGATTCCATCAATGTCAGTAGATTTCTACGCAACCTTATACATCAACAATTATTACTGATGTTCAGGCTACACTCTAAATAAATATCACATTCCATGGTAAATACTAACGGTTCACAATAAATACTGATCGTGCGGCATTCACCTTAAATACAAAAACACCAAATATAGCACCACAGCTAAATTGTATACCTGGAATCTGTCAGTCTTATAATTTCTCTCGCCAGTCGACCAATAAAGTTGACGCTACTATCAGTAGGTGGAAAAATAGGTATTGGAACATATCGGTTCTGGTACACACTTTGCCATTGATGTATTTTGTTCCTCAAAAATTCGTTGCATTCCCACTCTACGTTGTAATTTATAATCCGAGTTACCTCTTCTTGCCATATTTTTAGACCATTTAAGTTTATGTAATCCTAAAAAAACATATTATCGTCATAGCCTAATTCGAATATTGAACTACTCGTGAAAACTCACTCATATTCACATAATGGTATCGCTACAAAAGCAGGGCCTAAATTACCGAGATACGATGACTCATATTAACGAGTTAAATAAACTTTTGTTGGTCACATTTTGTGCTTGTTTATGCATATAAGTTAATAGTAAAAACACTAGTAAGCTTACCTGAATGTACTCGAGGGATCTTTTATATCCATTCATTATTTGCACTAGTTGGTTCAGTTTTTGTTCTAAATCGTCTTGTTTAGGTTTGGAACCAAACGTTAAAATATTATGCAGGGTTTTAGCAATATGCTGGACCAACTCAATTCGAATACCATCTTCTAGCATTTGTTTAGGATCCAAACACACAACACCAACCAACGTATTTTTCATCATTCTCATACCTGCAGATAGATAGTTTGAATGCCAGTATGCGTAAAAGTAGAACTAAGCCTAAAGTGAGCAAAGTGAGAAAGTTAGGACTGCTTACATGATTTTACACGAACGGAGACACATACGAAATCATTAGAAAGGTGGGCGATCTTGTAGATTTTTGCAGAAAAATTCTTATTGGGTATGTTATGTAACAAAATTAGGATATACCTTTACTAAAAACAGAAATAGAATTTGTCAATTCCGCAAACTCAAATCTTTCATCTAACTGAGCATAGGTCTTGATCTTATCCTTGTCCACTCTAGTAGGTAACTCCTTCAGCACTGACGTTTGCATTTCGATTATTCTAGAAAATTTGCTGAACATCATGTTCGGTATAATCTGCAGAACCTTCCGCACGTAGATCTCGAGCTCTTTGCTGTAGTACCGAGACACAGATACTAAATCTTCACTATGTGCCTGATTGATACGAAGTAAAGGGATTTCCAGAGCTGATGATAATTTCAAAAACACTGCTCTTAGTTTGATCACGAGTGTAGGTTCTTTTTTGATACCTGCATATGAAAATGTTTTATTTAGTAAAATCACTGGTTCAGGTTAGACTATTCTGCTCAAACACTTTTCAAGGATAACTCAACCATTTTATCAAGGATACAGAACTAGACAAAAATGGGACCCTTAAATTTTATGCTGTACTAGACACTGAAAAAAATGTATTGGCTTATTAAGCAGGACTGTAAACATTTTTGATATTTTACGGCCCATCCACAAGGTCATAAATACTGACAGGTTGAGTTCAATGCATCAAAGAGAAAAGCGTATAGAAACATATGTTAGAAAGAGATAGAAGCCGCCTGGATAGCGAAGCTTATCACCGCGTTGCCTGGCAACGCTGACTCGGCAATGTGTAATGTTACACCAGTTCCTTGAATTAAGATGCATATTGAAAATACGAGTTAGTTTCTTCTTTCCGCCCAAATAATGGTTTTATTTTGAACGTACAGATTAATGAATTGTGTCCAATCTGTTTAGGATTGATTTCCGATCAATCCTAACGGCGCTCCATTTTAGGTCGAAATGAAAGGTCAGGATCGCCACAAATTCTGGAACGTTGCATCATTGGTTCGTTTGATAACACCGCATCTTGTACATTCCAATGCAAGGTTTCCACCTCCATGATAATAGTTGAGAGATTTTGGTCAGTTCCCATCTAGCGCTCGTACAGGAGTGTCGTCCTGCTTCGAAATCGCTTTCAACAGTGATAATTTGTATTTCGTAACGTTAATTTTGTTACAGCAACTCAAGATGTGTTGATGTTATCACCATCGGTGGAAATCAACGATAATTCTCAAATAAACCAAAACACTAAGTAGCATCAAAATTGAAATAAATAATTCTAATCAAAATAATAAAAATAGTAAATTAAATGTTCGAACAGACCTCCTTCTTGGGTTTGACAGTAACCTAACCTATTGTAGCAGCCTGTGCGAACATTTTCTGTTGTAACATACTGGCAACGCGGCCGATTGCACAACCTTCTGCTTCACCGTTGTTAGGTAATGTGGTGACCTTCGCTCTTCAGCCGGCTTCTATCTCTTTGTAACATGTGTTGATACACACCCCTCGCGCTACTCTCTCGTACAAGTTGAACTCAAGCCATCAGACAAATTTGGTTTTCCCTGTATGTACCTGACTGCATTATAAGCGTGTATGCATCGATAAGTTCCCATGCATAGCTAATGTCGCCGATAATTTGCAGATTGATAAGCACATCTTCCTTAATGTCTATATTCCTGATCATGTGATCCAATGATTTCCGTGTTTCAACCAAAAACTGCACTACTTGCATATTTGAATCAAGTTGGTGAAACGCCTGGACTTCCTCTAGAGCTTGAATCAACTGTACAAGTTTTCTTGAAGAGCTTGTATCATTCTAAAAAATAAATATAGGTAACAGAAGAATATAATTTACAATATCAAACATTGTCCGCAAATCTCAATCTAAAAATATATATATGGATCTGACTAATTATTATAAAGAAAGCAATATTGTTTTACCTGTATCAAACTTTCAACTTGTTTTGCAATTTCCAGAAACCACTTTTGAAGTTTAGTATTTTTCTGAATTCTACTCAACGGCTTAGACCCACCAAATACCTCAGACAACTCTGTTAAACTTTTGTAACTTTCACTCTTAAGTTCATCCCATTGTATTTCTTTATCTGTCAGTAGCTCTTTGTAAAGATCCTTCACCAGTAACTCCAACTGAGCAGTGTTCAATAGTAACTTGAATAAGTTACCTGGTTCACACTTAGACTCAGTTATAACCTGTTCACGCAGTTGCTTGAGCCTCTTGGTTTTATCTGTCAACCCGGGTTTCAACAGGGTATGTAACATTAACCACCTAACAGTAACATTGCATTCTCTCAATGTGTTGGTAATGTTGTTGATGTTCTTCAGCAAGTTATCCTTGGTAATACAGCCTTCTTTCAACAAAAGGTTGGTCATTTTTAGTAACTCTTTAACGTTGCTTCCATAAATCTCAGTAACTTTCTTAACATTTGCATGTTCCATAGTGTTCTTGAGTGCCGTTTTAGCACCCCGAAAAGCATCCCACATTTCGATTAAATTTACGGTGTAACCCATGTAGAGTGAAATGACCCAGTTATCAGGGAAAAATTTATCAACAATCTCTCTCATAATAGCAGGTTGTGAATGCAAGATGTTTGGTGAGAAGTAAAGGCAAATGTAGAGCATTGCTCCTTGATTTGCAAGAGCAGTACATCTATGTTTTGGGGAGGGATATACTGAAATCTGTCCGTAGATGTCATCTGATCTAAGCCTTCCAATAACATAATCAACATATTTTGCTTTTATGGGTATACGCCTGAAAATATTAAATCAAGTCAAAATATGAGTCACACTAGGATATAGCAATATGTTATGATTATTGAAGCACATTTGAAGCTGACAAAGCTATCATTTGTCATTATAACCTCAGTTTACTGTGATTATAATTCAAAAATAATAAGAACCTTCATTTTTGCGATATACTGGTATATCATGAGTGTTTACTAGTTTCCTGGAAAAATATATAATCCAGAACAACAAACATACACACGGTTGGTTCAAATTTGGTTGACGTCATAATGTGTACGAGAGACAAGCGCGAGAAGCGTGCAATATGTATGTTAGAGTGCGCCGATGGCAACGCGGCAAGCCACAGCTTGGTCCGAGGCCTCGTCACTCGTGTTGCTAGGCAACGAGGTCCTTCTATTTCTTTCTAACACACGTGCTGCACGCTTCTCTCTCGTACACATTGCGTCATCAGTCGTATATGGATTTCACTGTATACAATGTTAAAATGAGTATTACTCAGCTGTATCATAGGGAGTGTGAATGGCAGGACCGGCTTAGTGTTACCTGGTGAGAATGGTGTTACCAGTCCTAAAAGTGTCTAAGGGGCCAGCCCTGTTGGGGGATAGGAATTCAAATTACAGGTCGAATCCTTTTGTTGGGCAGACATCATTAAGCCAGTATTGTATTATAGTACATATGATGTCCAGCTGTGTAATATTGGTAGTAGCATACTGTATAACATTCAAGTCCAAAAACCATCAGTTTATGGCAAAATTATTTGTATCTCATAAAAGCATATACTTAATTTGAATGCTTTTTGGATGATTTACTTTTCACACTATTCAAGAAATATTAAGGTCATAAAATATTTTGAACTCGAGATTTGAGATATAATGGTTTTAGATGTCTTATAACTCATACATCATGGAATAGTCATTCATCTAATAATGAAAAATTCCACATTAATAAAAAACTAATGCTTCTCTACAATGTGGAAGACATTTCAAGCCATAGATTTTAGATTGTAGTAAGTAGGTGAATGCAAGATGTGTGCATCGGTTTAAATACAGCGGATATGTAATGTGTTTAGAAAGCTGCAACATTGTCGAGGCTTTTATTTACTCCAACATATTTCATACTGTTTTCAATACTCTCCTCAAATGATATGGAAAAGTTTTATCACTATGTTCATTCGATGAGTTAAGGCAAACGAGACAAATTATATGAAGATAACACTTTCAGACATCTGATGTTTTAGAATATCAATATAAAATCGGAAATACAGGCTATGCTTAGTTTATAGCAACTAAAGGAACGGTTCTCTGTTAATTTCAAAGCCCACTTAGGAAATTCTGTTTATTTTTTTTTAATAACATGTCTCGCAAAGACAATATATGACATATATATTTTTAGAATCAAAATTAAAAACTTTGTTCACCTGTGTAAAAGTCTAATATGGCGTCTATCAGAAAGAATAAAGTTGATCATTGTGCTCAAGACTAAAGGTTGTATTGAAATATTTGACGTTTCAGAGGATCCTGGTCATTTTTGATAACTTTTTAAGAAAAAATGTAAAAAAATTGGAAGGTGGGGAGCGGTTGTGTCGCAATTGTTTGGCGGCAATGTATTTATAAACTTCTAGCCACAGTAATTCTAGTCGGAGATGTAACAATTGCGACTACCAGGGCACTATAATTTATTGAATATAAGTTTTCTGCGAATATGAATATATTTCGTGCAATGAAGAAGCTGATCTGTTTTGAGTACTTTTTCCTCAAGCAAGTAATACCAAGGCATACAAAAGTTGTCCACGATTATTACAAAAAAGAATAAACAAAATCCTTTTTCTCAAATCATGTTCATTATATTACAGGACCAGTTGTAATCATTTCCATAGCCATCCAATAGAAACCCTACCAGAATGTAGGAAAGTAGATTTATATTCAATGTTCATAATTTTAATTTTTGCCAAATTGACAATACTTATGTCACTTATATTCATTCTACTTTACATATTACATTTTTTATGTGAGGGTACAAGGATTTTCATAACTGGCATAACCCAGAAACTGTGCATCATGTATATACAAAATCCATTTGTCCAGAATTGTGTTTCAATAATTTCCCGAAATTGGGCATTTGAGTCTGAAAATAAAAAACTATGTAGAAAATACGTGAGAATTCAATTGATTGTTTTTTACTCAAATTAAGCTAATATAAAACAAAATGTGTAAAAACACTACACATATGCTGCTCTTAAAAATAAAATTGTTTCTGTTTAGAACGAAACTGTTTCTAGTTCTAAAAACTGCAAGTAGATCGAGTGCACAAATTGCCTATATACGTATAATCAACTTTCTAAAAAGGTATAATTTCAATAATTATTTTAATTGTATGTATTTATTTTTCAAAGAAACGCTAAGTGCGAGCCTCTGAGTTATGATTAGACATTTGCATTCACTTCCTAGCTCCTGCTGTTATCACCCTTGTGGTGAAAAGGGCTCTTAAATGCCTTATTTATTACGCACTAGAGAAATTGCTCGAGTATAACACATTTTCTGATCTGATAACTTTCCATCTTATGTATTTTTGACATGTAGCTTCTTAAAGGCCTCAAAGACATAGAAAATTTGGCAATTGAAAAAGTGGAATTAATATTTTTAGTGTACTCCAACAGTAACTCTACGAAACCATAAAAATACAATACAATCACCTTATTCAAATCATTGTTCATTGCAAATTTATGCATTTTTCAGGAGTTTATCATCTTAATTCATTTATAAATTATGAATACCAATTTTTACTTGTTTCTCACATAATGTATTTAATCTGAAGACTCAAATACCGAACTTTGGGTCATTCATAAAAAAATACAAAAATGTTGAATTTTAGATCCCACATTACATCCTGGAAGGAATATGGTAAATTACCTGTACATTTATTATTACTTACTTGAAGTAGTCTTCAGGATAAGTAGGTGATCTTTTTGGATTGTGATACTCAGTTTCTCTGAGCAATTTGCACACCTCATCTATACAACTTTGGGTATTTTGCTTTTGGGGTGAATACCTATAGTATGATACCAATAGACGTTCACGAATTATTCCCTCAAAGTATATATCTACCATTAATAACATTAACCCATACATGTATAATGCTTCACACTGAAACATAGTTCTGTGAACAAGTTGGTAAACATGATTATAGGTATTTTTACGATTTTTAGTCACAGAAAAACTACAGGAATTACTTCCATAATAAATCTCCCTCATACATACACATGCAATTGGCCTCTGTGTGCAAATGTTTGTTTGTGTAAGCTCACAGACATGTTTCTTTGTTTTCTCTCACCACCTCAAACATATGACAAGTATTCCATATCTGTTATTGCAACTTCAATATGACAACTTGCACTTGCTTCTGATGCAAATACTATTCGTCATTTGTTTGTCTGGGCGGTCCGTAGGACCTTTGCCCATTAGTCACTGTCTAATGTACGTTAGTCGAATCCGTCAGTCCTGGTTGCCCAGAAACCAGACAAAGTCATGGAAACAGAGAAAGGGAAAGAGAAGAAAAAAGGAGAAGAGCAAAGAAAAACAGATATGCTTAGTTTAAGAGGAAACACCTAGGCTTTTTGACTTGGTACACGGATTAATTTTGAGGTGAACTAAAAAAATTTTTTCGATTCGGTTTTGTTAAGAGTGTAATATTGAGTTTACTAAAGAATCACGCTAACTTTTGATTACAGTGCGAGCCGTGGCCTTGAATGTTTACGAACTTGCTCCACTGTGTAGTCCACTGAGTCACGCAACAGAGGGTTGCTGTGCGATTCCGCTTGACTATAACGTCGCTGCGCCTGGAGCTTGACATAATCCCTCAAGTAAGGAATGTCAAGGTCTCTGTGTAGTGTCTCATTTGAGACATACCATGGAGCGTTGCAAATTGTCCGCGAAGGTCCGCTTTGCAGTACTTGAAGACTTTGCATGTGTGTCTTGGCAAGAAGCCGCACATGCATAAGTAATTGCTGATCTAACAATCATTTTATATAGTCGAACTTTGTTTATCAAACTCAATTTGGAGGATCTACATAACAAAGGATATAGTTGCCGAAACGCAATTTGGAATTTTGTTTTTATGGATGCTGTATGTTTCTGCCAGGTCATGCCTTTATCAAGGGTGACACCGAGATACTTGGCAGAATTTGTCCATGGTACACGATTTCCGTCTACAGAAACCTCTGCTGGGGGGCCGCGACGTTTTTTGGTACAATAAATAGCCTGCGTTTCCGAATGATTAATTTTTATTATCCACCGTTCCGCCCACTCTAGAACTTCGTCCACCGCATTCTGCAACCCATCGTGAACCAGATCACCATTACACGACTGGGCGATAAGTGCAGTGTCATCAGCATAGAGGTAGACTTCACAGTTGCTGGATGAAAAGCGAATAAATAATTGGTACTAGGACCGAACCCTGAGGACCACCGGCCCGTACTGGCCGTGTTGTTGACAAATCATTGTTAATTTTGATCCGAAACTTCCTTTCTTCAAGAAAGGATTTCAGTAATTTTAGAAGCCAAAAAGGAAAACCCTTTTGGATTAGTTTATAGAGGAGGCCTGCGTACCACACCCTGTCAAAGGCTTTTGAGTCATCCAAAAGCAAGATTCCAGTAATCATGCTGAGGGTGAACCCTCTGGTTACATGCTCCACCAGCCTGACTGCCTATAGCTCGGTGCTATGCTCGGACCGAAAACCGAATTGGACGTCAGGAATCACTTGGTGATTTGACGAAAAATTCTCAAGGTGACGATAAATCACCTTTTCGGCGAGCTTAGAAGGAGCTGACAGCAGACTTATGGGCCGTTGGCTCTAAAATATCTCCTGACGGACCGTACGATGTGCTGTTCCTCGTCGAGGTCATTATCGAGATCATAGTTGGGAGAGAACTGTTTTTCCATGGCATCAGCGAAAACCTCGACCTTATCCTCTGTTCTGAAGACTATGCCTTTAGGACCGTGGATGTGTGGGAGTTGTTCTCGCTTTCCGTTTCTGAGTGACTTTGCGACCCTCCAGAGAGGAATACTTGAATCAAGCATTCCCGCCAGAAAGTCGCTCCATTGCTAGTTGCGGAGTTCGTGCAGTGCGTTGCGAATGAAACTTGTCCATTCCGCTTGAGCGGCATCTATTCCAGACTCATAATCTATAATCGGGATATTGGGAAACTCTCTAAGGAGCAACTTGTATAGGTCCCAATCAATGCGTTTCCTTGGAGAAACTGCCTCCTCAGAAGTTTGCTCATTGCCCACATCCAAGACAACAGGTATATGGTCACTAGAGATATCATACAAGATTCGAGAAGAGATACTGTATCTACAGTTTTTAGATATCGCGAAATCGATGACATCTGGTGACTGAAGACAGTTGAATGGATGATGTGTCGGCTCTTTAGTGCTATGTATAAGGTACCCATTTCGTATCACATGGTTGTACAATGGAACCCCACTAGTGGATTTCAACCTAGAATTCCATGCTCGATGTTTGCAGTTGAAGTCCCCTGCCACAATAAGCGGACCCGAGTAGTCCAAAAGGACCTCCAGATCCTCCTCTTGTAGCCTGGCACCACACCTAACATACACCGATGTGATCTTCAACGAGACACCTCCCGCCATATTGACCACCACAGAAGCTGCTTCGATGATATGCATCTCCGCATTAGTGCTTCTATAAAAGTCTATACCGCGCTTAATCAACACTGCTAAACCGCCGCCTCGACCATTCAATCTCTCACCTCGGATAACATCATAATTCAGGAGAGCTAAACGATCACCCGGATTAAGCAGCATTTCC